CTTTGACCGCACGCTTTCAAGCGACTGCGCAAGACCCTTGTCGTATCCCTTCGTGTTGCGGGACTCGAAAAACTTGACAATATCATCGACATCAGCCTCCTTAGCGAATCCTCCGGTCGCAAGCGAAACGACCGAAGAAAGCATCGACAGACCAGGAGGAAGAAGCTTCTCGAGCTCGTCCCAGTGCGCCTCAACCCAGGCCCAGAGAGCACGGGTTCCCTCGACAGTGGTGCGGAGACCGCCCATGGGCAGGTAGCAGTCCTGAGTACGGACACTGCCGTCGAGAATCATGTCGAGAGTCTTCTGGATCAGCTTGGGGTTCTTTGTCCGGCCAAGCGAACGCAGAGCAGTGTTCTTCTCCGAAGTGTTGATGGGGTTGAGGTAAGTGTTGTGGATAACCTCCCACTCGGCCTCACCGCCGTTCTGCAGCGCGATGGCAAAGACAGATCCCTTCAAGTTAGGGTGGATAGCCTTCTTATCTCCAGCAGCGAAGCGGGCAAACAAGTCCTTGGCAGCAGCAACGACAGTCTCGTCGCCAGCAGTTCCAGCAGAGCCAAACATGAGAGCCTTGAACTGCTGCTCGACATGGCCAACGTTGGCATCGAACTGCCAGCCGAGGGAAGAAGCCTTGGGCGCAACAAGGTCGCGCTGGAACTTCTTGAGCGCCTCCTTGACAGCTTCATCCTCAAACATCCACGCGCTGCGGATAGCGCCGATGCGAGCAGTGATCTCATCCCAGACCACAAACTCCTGCTCGTTCTTCCATCCGGAAATGAGGTTCAGGAGACCAGTGGTGGAAGCGTAGCCGCTGGCGGCAAGAGCACCGGTGTCAGCGACAAGTCCAGCGCGATCCTCAACACTGAGAAGACCCTCCTGCGCAGCCTTTCCAAGCTTGGCGAGACGGTCGGCAGAGTACGCAGTGCGGTAGATGCCAGAGTGGTCAGCGTTGATCTTGTAGAAGCCAGTGTCGACGGGGAAAGTGGCCTCGCGAGTGTTGAGCATCAACTCCTCATCGACGCCCTTCTTCGTTCTCAAGCCGAGCGAAACGGGGAAAATGGTCTCATCCTCCTCAGGCTTGACGTCACCCGAGGTCAGGAATCTGTTTTGGCGGACGGTGATGCTCTTGCCATCGGCAGCCTCAGTCACGGTCAGAACAGGGTATCCAACCTGCTTGGTCCAGGAGTCCATCAAAGCAGAGACATCCTTGCCAGAAACCTCTGAAAGAGCGGCCCACAAGTCACCAGTCTGGGTGTTGCCGTACTTGTGCTTCTTGAGGTACTTGCGGATACCGGCGATAAAGACGTCTTCTCCGAGGAACTTGGAGACCATTCGCAAGACGCAGGATCCCTTGGAGTAGGAGATAGCGTCAAAGATCTGGTTGATCTCATCGGCACGCTTGACGGGGACCTCAATGGGATGCGAGGAACGCAATCCATCAAGACGGAGAGCAGCCTGGAGGTTGTCGGTGACGTATGACTCCCACACCTTCCAGTCAGGGTAGAACTCATTGCAGGAGAACCACGACATCCAGGTAGCGAAACCCTCGTTGAGCCATAGGCCCTCCCACCAGTCCATGGTAACCAAGTTTCCGAACCACTGGTGAGCGAGTTCGTGCTGCACGACTTCGGCAACACGCTGCTTAGTGGCAGCGCCGGAGGTCTCCTCATCGAAGAGCAAGTCGACGACACGGTAAGTGATCAAACCCCAGTTCTCCATAGCACCGGCCGAGAAATCGGGAATGGCAACCATATCCATCTTGGGAAGAGGGTAGGGCATGTCAAAGGTCTCTTCGAAGAACTTGATGGTCTTGGCCGCAAGCTCGCAGGAGAAGACACCCTGGCTCTCGTTTCCGGGAGTGGCGTAAACGCGGACAGGGATACGGAACCAGGTGGTCTCGACATAGCGCAAATCGGCGACAATGAAAGCGAGCAGGTAAGTCGACATGAGCGGGGTGTTGGCAAAGGAGACGGCCTTCTTGCCGTTGCCAAGGTCCTTGGTAGCGATATCGTTCATGTTTGACAGGCAGGTGAGGTTCTTGTCGGCGATCAAGGTGATTGCGTAGGTGGCCTTAAGAGCGGGCTCATCGAAGCAGGGGAAGGCACGACGACAGTCAGTGGGCTCCATCTGCGTGGTGGCCATGTACTTTGTCGATCCGTCCTCGGCGGTGTATGAAGAGCGGTAGAAACCGGCCATCTTGTCGTTCAGGATTCCGGTGAAGTCAATGGTGAGCTTGACCTGCGAACCGGCGGTGAAGTACTCATTGAAGATGAACTTGACGGTCTGCTGGTCATCATTGGTCTCAGAGGAGTGGAGGGACACGAGCTTGTCACCGGGGAGGGTGAGCACGACGGAGTGGATGTCAATCTCAAGGGAGTTGAGAGTGATCTCTTTCGAGGTCTCAAACACATCCAAGCTGTGTTTCGGCAGAAGTTAGTCAGAGTACAGGGAAGAATAAAAGAGACAATTGCCGATTGTGATGCGGAGAGAGATACGTACAGGATAGAGACGGTACCCTCGAATTTGAATTTCTCAAAATCAGGCTCCAGGGATAGATCATAGTGAAGGGGCTTCACGTTCTGGGGGAGGATCTCTCTCGCACCAGAGGTGCTAGATGAAGAAAAAGAGAAAAAAGTCAGCAAAGCGCACGGAGAGAGGAGAATTGAGAATAGATCACGGTGGAAGCGGTGATCTGGGGGAGTAGGTACCTGTAGCCTCCAGAGACGACGGCGTCAAGCATATCGGGATCGCGTTGCAGGCTGTGGTGGTGCTGACAGGCGTAATGTAAGCTTCGAGAAGCAGTCGAGAGGAGCGAAGGCGAGGAGAAGGGGGAGGAGGAGGAGAGGTGAGCAGGACTCGGAGGAGATGGAGTCGATGACGGAGCGAGAGCAGGCAGAGCGGGAAGCGGAAGTCTTCTACTTTTAGCCGCGGACAGCGAGAATTGGCGGATGGGAGCTAAACGTAGACACCCACGCGCTACCCGGCCCTGACTGCGAACACCGCACGCGAGTTGCGAGAAGACGGCTATTGGCGGAGAAAGACGCATTGGTCCTGGTAGAATGGCCGAAACTCACGAAGGAAGTGGGTCGGGCGGCTCGGGGAGGGTGAGGTCCGACAGCAGAAGCAGCAGGAAGAAGCACGAAGAAGGAGCTGGTGCGGGCTGCCTCTTTCTGTGCTGGCTGAGCGGACTGAGTCGCGGGAAGAGCAGGAAAAAATGGAAGAGCCCGACATCAGAGGCCTGCGGCTCGGGGCGAACTCTATGTCTTCTTACTGTCCTCTTACATCAGATGTGTATTAGATTCTATTAACATGGTTATGACGTTGCTATATCCAAATATGTCCGTTTATATGCAGGAAGAGCGACACTGGAGATGACGGAAACAAGATCTACAAAAGTCATCTCTGGATGTGGCCCACAAAGTTATCGCCCCGGTAGTCGAGATGCACATACGCCCGCTCGACCATAGGAAGCGTTTCAATCGCATACTGCAGCGCCTCGCCCAGATCGTGCGTATCGCGGAGCGACAGCTGGTCCTCGACTACTATATCAACCTCGACCTGTAGTCTATCGCCAGAATGATAGACGTTGACCGCCGTCACCTGCTTTATGCTTTCTGCGAATCGCAGACAGAGATAGGTGACGACTTGCTTGTCGACCGAGTCGCCGGCTACTCCAGACAGGTTGCGGATGTGCTCGAGCGTGGTCTCGACCCATTGGTGGATGATGTATATCGACAAGAGCAACGCGCCCAAAGGATCCAGCCACCAGTATCCGAACAAGTGTCCCGCGATTGGAAAGAGCATTGACAAGATGTTGAACACGATATCGGACATTGCGTCCTGGGCTAGAGCTTGCACGGCCGATGAGTTTATTGACCGGCACCATAGCCAGGCAAACAGCTTTAGTATGACCGCCATCGACATAATTGCAAACGATGGTAGACCCAACCTGACGGGAACCCGCGGACCGCTATATAACCGCTCGATCGCCTCGACTGCTACTTGACAAAAAGACACGATGATGATGACGGAAAACACAAGCACTCCGATCGGCTCCAGCCGGCTACGGCCGACCGGATAATTAAATCGGGTCGTCGAGTCGGTGGATTCGGCCATGCTTGTGCTCAGCCAGATTATTGTCGTGCACAAGAAATCGAGCGCAGAGTCTACCAAGGATGCAATGACCGAGATTGAATTTGTGAGAATCACGATAGCGCCTTTTCCCGCCAGCAGAAATCTTCATCGAACGATCAGTAAAAGCGCGACAAGAAAAAGAAGAAAAGAAAAGGCAGTCTTACATGTTGATCAGGAAATTGACTATGATTGCCAGAGTGACAATGCCAGAGTATTCTTCACGCGCGTCAGTATTTAAATGCGTCTGTCCTTCCTCGTCTATGTTTGCAGGCACAGCAGTTCTTCGTGATGCAGCAGACACGCCATCTGTATAATCATGGATCATTGTGTGAGAGATGTCTGAATCGAGTAGACTGTCGACTTCCATGTATCGCTCCGCGAGCTCATTCTGGGATCTGTAAAAATTTCGTATCCTGCGGGGCATCCGCGACAGCGTTTTGTCGTCAACAATCATCGACGCCCAGTCATATGGAGACTTTGTATTTCCGATCAGGTACTGTGCACGCATTTCGTGCAGCTTCAGTCGCGCACCGGCATGTGACGAGCTGCGACTGCGGAACTGGAAACTGTCGACGGACTTTCCTCTGAGGTTGTGGTAGTGGTGGTGCTGCTTACTTGACGACACCACGAGCGATGTCGCGAGCTGATGAGCGGTGCTGGACAGGACTTGAGCGGATTTCTGCGCGGCTAGTGAGCCGCCGATGGAGACGGTGCGGTAGAGGTGCGAGAGCACGCCGCGGTCGTCGTCCGAGAAATCTTGAGATGAGTCCGATAGCCGTCGGCGGGTAGCGCACGCGACACTCTGGGGCACGTCGTGCATGGGGAGCAGATGGTCGTGTTCATGGGGAGACGAGAGCATGAAGTCTTCGATATCGTCGTCGCCGTCGTCGTCGAGGGGGTCCGAAGCCGAGGAGGAGGAGGAGGGGTCGGAGGAGACGGCGTAGCTGACGACTACAGGTTGTTTAACGGGGGAGAACCCCTCGTCGGGCCCGGGACCACCGCCGAGAGGGACGACGGATGCGGTCGGCATGTCGAGGAGTGAGAGCGAGCGAGCGCGAGGAGCCGGAGCAGGGGGGAGCGGGCCGGGACCAGGAGCGAGCAGGCAGCAGGGAGAGGGACCTGGGAGAGGAAGGCAGGGAGGGCGGGGAGTCAAGTTGTATTTACGGTGGGAGTGAGCCTCAGCGGCAGGCGAAGGGGAACGGCCGAAAAATAAGGTCGCCGGCCCGGGCAGGCCAACAACGGGATATTGGCGAGATTTCTGCTGGACGGTGCGGTCCGAGAGTGAAAGTACGAGATCACTGACTACAGATTACGATGATCCCGAGCGAAGGGCGAATAAAGCGACAACAGCAGGAAACATCAACAGATCGCAGGACAATAAAAGCAATAAGCGGCGGCGCAGTGACCACCAATAAACCCGCACGAGACCCTTGTTCGGCTGTCAACACGAATACGCGGGCGCCCTCGACCGCTGCGGTACATCGCCGACTTATCTGCTCCGCACTAAACTCGCTCACCGGCCGCGTCCGGCCAAACACAGCCGGCGGATATCTGATTGCCCGCGGCCGCCTCTAAACCTGTCGACAGACAGCCAGCACTGCGCCGCACCCAGCCGTTCCCCGCTCTGCGGTGGTGGTCAAAGTATACAGAGTATACGGCATCGTAGGAGTGGACCGGCGCAGTGCTCTGGAGCAGGGCAGCGCGATCTACGCAAGGAGATCCTCCTGCCAACCTCCGCCCCGTCCGATGCGGCAGGGCGGCAGGTCCCTGTCCGTCTGGATGTTGTTTATAGCAGCAGCGAATTTGCTCGTTTCTACCTTGACTCCAGACCGCGAAAACGAGTACGAGCGAAGAGGCTTGGCCATATTTGCTCATAACCATCAGGGCCGTCTCCTCTCTTGCTCCTTCAGTCTCCAATCTCAGTCACTGAACAGTCACTGAAGTTTGAAGCTCAGCATCTGCGCAGGAAGCTGTCGCAAAATTGCTCACAAATGGCGCACAGTTTGCCTTCTGCAAGCGTGGGAGCCAAATACGCAACTTAACTCAGCCCTTACCCGATGCACTTCCATTCTAGGCATCCACCTCTTCACTACTGTTTAGCCGGATGTACAGCGTCAAGCAGCGAGTATCCGAATGCTGGTATGCTACCAGCAGAGTTTTATGGTTATCCTGATTAGATTTTGAAATGTGTGTGACGAGCTGAAAAGTGGGAAGCATGTAGTACGAGGGTTGTACGGCGGTACGGCGGTTCGCTGGCACGGCTATAGCCAGATATCGAGACGCCAGGAGACAGCCATTGCTCTTGCTTTCATATTTCATTCACTGAGCACTAATAGCCTTGATCAGGCATTGGTCCGCAAAGAGCTCTTTGATCCGGACTGCCTGATACAGCATCTGACCAGATCTGTGTTGGGCGGTAATACGACGAAGCAATATCTTGCATCTTGAGAGCAGCCTCGCGCGTCACTGTGCAGACCCTGCCTCTGTTTCTATTCTGCTTCAAACTTCCCTTCATAGCCACACCTTGTCCTCCGCTGTAGAAAAGAATCTGAACAAATGGACACCACGTTATGACCTGAGCAAAGTGCTTCCAATCAGTGCTGAAACACAAACCCCTCGATCAAGCACGTGCACGAAATATCTCGCGAGCAGGGCCTGGCCTGAACGCGCAAGAGTGAGACGTGGCAGTTTCCATGATCTGTCTGTCGTCTTGCACAGAACAAAGCAATTCTATCACTCAAAGTGGAAGACGGCGATATTTGCATATGTTAACCTGAGCGAATCTGCCTTCTGGAACCACAATTGTGCTCGCTTGACCGAGATACAATGTCGAACGCCATCCCAGCTGCTGCAAAGGATCAGCCTGACGCGTCGTCGTCGTCGGGGTCGAAATCGGCAGTCGATCTACCAGCGGGCACAATCACCGTCAAGTCCACTTTTGTCTCGCGGCTGGTTTCGCTCTTGGCGATTGGACTGGCGCTATCACTTATTTTCAATTCGCAAGAGGATGCGTCGCTGTATGATCCTTTGAAAGCATGTGTCGGGTTCTCAATCCTTGCATATCTTATTACTGTCAATCTGATTCCTATTTTGGCGCCGGAGTTTGTTCGAGTTGGGTTTTTTGGTAAGGATTTGGGAAAGAAAGATCGGCCAGTTATGTACGTTTGCTCTGCCTCTTTTGACTTCTAGATCACGAGAAATGATATTAATGATTGCTTTACAGTGCCGAAACAATGGGGGCGGTGTGCGCGGTTGTCTACCTCGTTTCTATGTTTTTCTTTATCCCGTTTCTCTTTTACAAATACTACGTCACCAGCACTTCAGGCGGTGGAAACCGCGAGCAAGGCTATGACGCAGCCGTCGAGCTTCTCCACAAAGGTCGCGCACTACGCATGTTCCCACACTCAAAGCTGGCAGAGTACCTCGCCGCTCTGCTTTCCTTATTTAGCATGCTGGTCCTCGGTGTAGCCGACGATCTGTTTGACATTCGGTGGCGGAATAAGCTGTTCATGCCTGCGATTGCTGCATTGCCAATGATGTTTGTGTATTATGTCGATTTTGGAGTGACGCGGGTCGTCGTGCCTGAGTTTGCGTACAAGGTGTTTTTCCCAGAATCGCTGGCGTACCCGACCACGATCGATCTCGGAGCGCTATACTACGTCTACATGCTTTCTTTGGCAATTTTCCTGCCGAATTCAATCAACATTCTCGCTGGGGTGAACGGCTTAGAAGCAGGCCAGGCGTTCGTCATCGCCATATTCCTTCTCCTCAACGACGCACTCTATATCCTCCCAAGCCGCTTGTTTGGTCTTCCCGAGCACCCAGGCACGGAAGCGCATCTCTTTTCGACATACTTCACCTTACCGCTCGTGGCCGTCACGCTCGCCCTCCTTCGCTTCAACTGGTTCCCAGCGCGCGTATTCGTGGGCGACACGTACTGCTACTTTGCGGGAATGGTGCTTGCGCAGGTCGGTATCGTTGGCCATTTCGCAAAGACGCTGATGCTTTTTTTGGTGCCGCAGGTGTTCAATTTCTTGTACTCTGCTCCTCAACTGTTTCATCTCGTCGATTGCCCGCGCCATCGGCTGCCGAAGCTGAATACCGAGACAGGTCTTCTCGAGCCGTCGCGAGTATATTTCCCGACCAAGCCGCGCAAACTACAGACGTTATTGCTTCGCACTATGAGTATATTCAAACTCATTCACCTAGAGTACGATTCCAAGACCGGTGCAATTGCTTCGGCCTCAAACATGACGCTCATCAACCTGATCCTGACGTGGACAGGACCTCTGCGCGAAGATAGACTGGCGCTGGTTTTGTTGTTGATCCAGGGGTTCACTTGTATGGTTGGTTTGACTGCTCGACACACGATTGCGCCTATAATATTTGGGCGTGATAATATCTGATTCTTGGATCAGAATTGATAAAAGTATTTGTTGAGGGACTTGCAGTGCTGATACAGAAAGTACTCATCCCAGTTTATGGCTGCCTCTCCTACTATGATGGTGGTTTTTAGATCTCAAGTGTAATATTAACATGAAGCAAGTCATTAGATGTATAGTGTAAATTAGATAATTAGCATGGGTGTCTATTTAGAAAAATGCGACAAAGAAAGAACAAAAGCTCCTATAGACGATCCAAAAATCGACCATGGCCAGATAAAACGACAAAACGCAATCACAGACCCACGACATTTTTGCGCTCGTCCTCTAACTGACCTAGCCACTGCTTCACCAATGGATGCTTTATCTTACTCCTCGCTTTGAAAAAATCCGCCAGCTCGACCTTCTTATCCTCCTTTCCCTCGAGCACGTCCATTTCGTACTCGACCGTCTGCAGCAAAAACTCGAATTTGTCGAGATCTTTGACGAACCGGGCCTCGGGAGTTGACATTTCTTCGTATTCGAGGTAGAGTGTGTATAGTTGCGAGGCTGCGTCCGGGTTTAGTGGGCGGATGAGGTCGGCGAGGTAGTTCATCGTTTCACGCTCGCGTCGGTGTTTTTCGTCTGTCCGGAAATCACAGGAGGATGATTAGATACAAGACACAAAATTCGTGAAACAAAAAGGGATAATGTACCAGCGCCGACAGGGTCGGAAGGAGTCAGATCTCCGACTACGGCCTCGGCCAGATCGTGCACGAGAGCAATCATCGCACACTTTCGACTATCAAGATTATCCTCCGGCGGAGCAAGCATAGACATAACCGCCATTCGATACATATGATCGCTGATAGACTCCGCGTTGCCATGCTGAATGCCCTTATCAAGCCAGCCTGTCCGGCGCTGGGTCTTTAGAAACCTGAGGATCCTGAAGAACGACAGCGGTGCCGGGAGGGACAGGATCGATTTTGGAATCGCGAGTTCCGGCGTCCATTGCTGTTGCAGCGGCTCGGTGCCGTTCGCAGCCGTCGAGGCTGCGGATCCGGTTGTCGCTGAGGCCTCGGCTGGAACTTGCATTCTAGTGAATATCTTTCTGAGTGGTTCTTCTCGCGACGGCGGTGAGCTCGAGGACGGAAGCACAGGGTGTAAAAAGGCCGACCGCGTCCGAGAGCTTTTTTTGTTGTTTACGATGATGAAAGTTTAAAAAGCGTTGATGAGATATGGCCTCTGCTCCGAAGAGCCGACTTTGTGTGAAATACAAGAGCCAGTCTGCAGCCACTCTTTGGTCTGCTACATAAACTCATAAAACGAATATAATTGGCAAAAAGACAAGTACTACTATTTTGTAGGTAGAAGCTTCAGGCAGCTCAGTTTGAAGAGTGGTCGAGGGGATGTCATGGTGAGCTATCTTTAAACTCAATTGAGTCGTCTTTTTAATCTCTTTTCTGTGCAAACTACTACTGATCTCCAAGCAAAAGACAAACCGCAGAGCAAAGAACGTTTTGATGAGTCGGTGCCCTCCCCGCATCCAAAATCGGCTTCGACCCGACCGGCTAATTGACATCATCCGTCTCGAGCCCGGCTTCACGACATATCCTCTCTCTGTCTCTCCGCGCCGGTCCTGCTCAGAAGAAGCCTGAGGCAACTCACTTCTGCTTCACCTTCCTCTTCTTCTTTGCTTGCCTCTAGTTTTAGTTGGATATATCTCTGCACCTGTCTTTGAGCTAGACGCCGTCTCCCCTTCTCGGGCTCGCAAATGGGTTCTGCCGAAGGCCCCGGAGCTACCGACGATGAGCCCTCTCCGGCATCTGCCCCGGCCCCTCGACGTCGTGTGCGTACAGGGTGTCTGACCTGCCGCTCACGCCACCGCAAATGTACGCAATTGCTACATCTATCCTTCGATATATCCCTGCTGACATGTGTCTTACCCCACAGGCGATGAGAAGCGTCCGACCTGCGACAACTGCGCGGCCAAGAAACTAGACTGTCAATGGAGCGTCAAAGGGCTTTTCCAGGAGTCTAACTCCCGATACATCTCGGCATCAGGGCACATTTCGGTTGTTCCTCGCGTGTCCCAGTTCACCGTATGTATTTATGCATTTTCGAGGACGCAGTTTGTAGTTATGGCTGATTCGGATTTATAGATTGTTAGCGACGGCCCGCGAGGTAACGGGCCTCCCAAGAAGCGACAGCGCAAAATCTCGGAATCAGACAATGGAACTATAGAGCAGAGTTCAGAGTTGCCGTTGGCGAACACTGGAGTCAGCAGCACCCGTGCGCCAGCAGATAGCAGACTGACAATTCATGAAGAGGTTTCCACCGCCGAACGAGCGGAAATCTATCTACTTGAAGGTGTATCTCTAGCCACAGATCTGTCTGGCTACGCCCGTACAGATCAGGAGACTACCCGATTTGCGCAGTTAGAGCCTTCGAGACAGCCTGGTGACCGCAGCGACTCCTCAGCAAGCAATACCTCAGCCACAACAGATAACTCCACAATCTCCTACAACAACGGATCTGCAGTACCAAATCTTGAGCGGGCAAGCTTGCGTACTATTCTGAATCTTTCTGAAAACCGATCGTCTTCTGCTTCTGACGCAGCTCAGCTGAACAAGTTTAGCATGCCAGGGCTGGACACCGGGTTGTGGCGACAAGGCAGTCTTGCTGCTCGTGAGAAGTATCCCGAACAACTTAGAGCAGAGAACTTTGAGCATAGGATATCAATTTCAAATATCGCTGAGATCGATCACAGCCACCAAATTCGACAACCAATCTCGCTGCCACGAATTCACTCGGCATCATGCTCGCCTGATTTTGAAGGCTATTTAGGATCACAGTCGAATAGTACATCGTCTGGGATGTCGGAGGATGAGGAAGATGGCGCGGAGGACGATGAGGAGGAAGAAGGAGAAGCGGAGTTTCTTGGCGATATCAGTATATCCTACAAAGACCTCCATATAAACCTCCTCGAGTGCATCGAGGTTGCTTTATCTGAGGCTACGAGCAGGTCCACCTCAACCTCCCGCTCACATATCTGCCCAGGACAAATCCGCAGTCGCAGCGAGCTCTCCAGTCTCGACAAAGCACGGCTATTGCGGAATTACGTCGATAACGTCGCTGATAGCTTGGATCTCTGCAACAACGACCACCATTTTGCTGTCGAGATACCGCGCATGGCTCTTACAAACAACGCTCTCCTTTACGCGATTTTCGCCATTTCCTCGAAGCAGTTTGAATGCGTGGATTCGAACTACCCGCCTGGAGTTACGCTGGATATATACTGGGATTTTCTGCAGTATCTTGCTCCAGAATTACCCAGCTGTAGCATGGAAGTCATTGCGTCTTGTGTGATATTATGCGGACTTGAACTCATGGGGTCCAAATCAAATCACCGACGACGACATGTAACTGCCTGTGCTTCTCTTCTAGCAGCTTGCAACATCACAGGCATGACCAGCGGTTTCGGAGGCGCTATGTTTTGGTGCCTGGCAAGGATGGATATCGCCACCGTCATGATTGGCGAAGAACCCACAATCATCCGCAACCACGGCGGCACCATCACGCAAGCAATGTCTGTGAACGCTATCAGTGCATTGTTTCGGTCCCACTGGCTATCGGCAAAAGCCTCTCGTGCCTGCGACTCCTACGCAAACTACTCGCTTCTCCTTGCCGCGCGCGTGATTGCGCTGATATCCCGAGAAGGAAGGTACGCTGACAGCCATGGCCCGTGGGAGCAGCTGCCCAACGAAAACGCTTCTGTTTTAGGTTATGACGGGGAGTGGGAAGAGTTGTGGAATGGGCTACGAGAGTGGGTTGAGCGGAGGCCGGAGTACATGTTACCACTGTTTGCCTTCCAGGAGGAAAAGGATGGGCGGGACGTTTCCCCGTTTCCGACAGTTTTGTACGGTAATGGATCAGCTAGTATGTTCCCCTCCCTATATTTTTTATAACATACACGCTAACGCCAATTTCTAGCCTATGTAACCAGCTGTACCACACATCGTTTCTCTTAAGCAGAATAAACCACGACATTACAAATACGCAAAGCCACTCCGCCCATGCTATGGCACGCAAAACAGATCTGCGCAATAGCCCAGACAAACAAAAACCGGTGCGCATTCCCCCTGCTCCCTATCTTAATATTTTACTTATCTTGCTCAGAGGTTGTGCTAATCGTTTTAACAGAGCCTGCTGGTCGTACTTGATTCAGAGCTTGAAATCGCGGGACAGCTGATGTCGCATCAAAGCGAGCATGCGACGATCTTCCAGGTATTGCAGGAAATCGCAGCGACGACGGGGTGCGCAGTTGATAGCTGCCGCGACGAGCTTCGAGAGATTTGGGGGGTGTGAAGTGGCTTAGTGATGTTTTGGCTGTTGGTATAAGATATAGATATAGATTTATGTATATAAACGGCTTGGTGAATATCTTTTACAGTACAAGTGCAGTGGGTCACTCAGAGTGTGTAGGGTTTTATCACCCAAAGAAGCAACCGGAAGCCACTATATGATGCACGGCCACTCCACCCATTCACAGAAGCTCGAGGAGTTATTTCGTTTCGATAGCAATAAAGTAAAATTGGAGCAAGTTTACTATGAGAAAAAACAACTTTTAGATTATCCACAACAGCTATATACATCCTCATACGACCCTCGCCCACCTATATAAAAGATAGATGAAGAAACCGCGTCGACGAATACCACCACAGCGGCTATCAGAAGAAAAAATATACAAAAGGAATGAATGAGAAGGAGAACTGCAAAGGAATGAAGAAAAAGAATGACAAGGGAATGATAGGAAAACAAAAGATAGATGCGGCCGACATCCTCACCGGAAACTCTGGAATATAAATGCTTAGATACATGAAACGACAAACTAAATGAGAGGAAAATAAAAGAAAGAGAAACTGATAATCACTTTAAACGCCTTCTTGTACCATGCCACATAACGTCAATAAGAAGAACCATAATGGAAATAGAAACAGGATCAGAGCAATACGGACGAAAAAAAAAATAAGTAAAATAGAGAGCCTACATGGCGCGTCCAAAAGTCGTGCTTTCGTAATCGCCATTCGCAACTCCTTCGTCGTTTTCAGATGCAACGACCGCTAGTTTTTCGGGATCAGTAGCACTTGAATAATGCTGCGCGCAGTCGCCGTCAGCGAGGATCCGAACCTGCTTCTCGAGAGCTTATACTCAAGAAGTCCCATTCCTTTGACAAGAATCTCTCGGTAGCAGCGCACTCGCATCGCGTTTATCTGCGATGTCGATCTTCGAGGACCGACCGCTGCTATCAGTGCTTCCGCGTGCGCGGAAGGATGGGCGTGAGGATCGAGAGATGCTTTGCGGTTCTGGTCTGCGTCAGGCGGTAAAGCTTCCTTCTCTAGTACCGGTTATCTACCTCTGGAGACTTCGAGCGCGAACGCAATCGTTGAGTGATCCTCCGTGATGGACGACCACACTTGCGTCCGACAGTCGGTTTTTCACCGTGCCGTCGTCGTAGAAGAGCGAGAAATAGTGCGCTTGCGCGTCGCTCTCCGTCAGAGTATTGGCTGCGGAGTGCGCGCGCGAGAAAGGATCCGATGATCGGACTTGACGGATTAGATCTTGTACGGGACGCAGACTGCGACAAGATGCCGCATCAATGGGTCGCCGTTCTCTTTCAACTCCACGCCTTGCAGTTTTGCACCAGAAGTACTCAATGCTGACGCGTAGTTGATCTTGATGATCCAGTCGTTCATCTCATCCGGCGAGTCTGCCATGAACCAGTCCTCCTCGCTTCCTCGGACAATCACAAACGAGCTGCGGTGTTTCTGATAGCCGCGTCGAGCATCTCGTCGGCGTGAAAGCCCTGGATAGGCGGATAAACACAACGGTACTGCTGTTCTCGTCCGCACTCACTGACGCACTCAACTGATCCATCAATCCACGCACCAATTCACGTCGCGGAAAAAATAGATGTGCGAGAGCGTGAGGAAGACCCCATGATCTCCAGCTCGATTTGATCATCCTCCGCCTCTTACGCTCGATGCTCGTGAGAATTCCAATCTTTGCAATCTTGATATAACTGAGCGAAGGTTCGCGAGGAATACTCGGCTCCATCATTATAGACGACTGGCGCGAACGCGGTGGAAGGATTTGAAGTAGAGGACTATTGATGAACAAACTATGGAGCACCTTGACGTTGAACTGTGGAGCGTTCCAGAGTAAGAATACGGATTCTCGGTGCTTCGTAAAACGTCTGAGACCGGAGGACGTAATTCCGAGAGTCGGTTCTCAACAATATAGCTGTAGGGGTCGATAGGCTCCCTACTTTGCTTCGCAAGACCAACCAAACTCTTCCGGTGCCTCTGCAGCGGCGGGCGTTCTAAGGTCTTCTCAGACGCCGGCGTGCCGAGATCAATTTCTTCCTCCATGTGCACGAACGGGGTATATGTGATGTTGTCATAGAAGCACTCTAGGATGTCTTTGGAGATACCTTCGGTCTGCGTGTTGCGAACGTAGTCTGACTTTTGCATTTTGTGCCGGTTGCTTTTGTTGAATGCATCGGTGTGGAGGATCATGAGTGAGAACGCGATAACGTACGCCTGGTCTGCAATCAAATAAGACATTAGAAAGACAAGAACATAAAGATTAAAAAAACTTGAACAGATTCTCACCCTTGGAAAAGAAGATTTCAGGATTACAGTAGTGAACGCGTCGAGAACGCGATCGATCTGCTGTGTTTCTTTTGGTAACTGTAAATTTCCGTAGCGCCATATCGATAGGCTCATCAGTAAAATCAAAACACATCCAGGACTTTTTTGTGAAAAGACGAGTCGTCCTTCGACAACAGTAATGCTAATTTCGGCTAATCAGACGATCGACTCTCTCGAGGTACTCTGCAGGACTCTCGTTTTCGTCCTCGTGATCAGGCAGAGTAATATGCGGTAGCGGTGAATTACCATGCTTTGGAGAAGACGAAGGCCCTGTGGGGATGGTCGCGATCGAAGTCGAGGACGCGAGCTGTGGCTTTGCTTTCAGTTCGGCGAAATTCGGCTCACTTCCAGTGCGCAGCTTTAGCGAGAAGAGGTTTGCGAGTCCAGTGATCTGGCTGAGTTGTGGTAGGTCACGTCGGACACTGGCGCGTCGGTCGTTATCGAGTGAGTTTAAAGTCTGGCTGCGCGCACGGGTTCGCTGGACACTCGATGTCGGGGACATATTTGCTGATGTGTTGGAAAGCCGGCTTGAGTGAGAAACATTTGAGAGCGAGCGGGCAAGATAGGCTAAGATACAGTTAGTCATTGTCTATAAGCAACGTCATGAGGCGAGCAACGTACAGGGATGCAAGGTGCCGGAGCTACGATGCCGCAGATCAGGCACGTTGATGTGCAGATCCGACGCGCTTTGGACAGGGAACGTAATAGAAGGCGTTTCTTTGGTTGGAGACGAGGCCGAACTTCGAAACGCGGGCGAGTGGTTGAAGAATGCAGAGGCAACCTTCTTTCTCAGCTTTGCAAAGCTCTTCTGATTCGATGATGAGGAAGATGACGAAGGGGTCGGTGAGAGCGGACGCGTCGGTGATCGGTATCCACTGCTCATGGTATCAGATGCGGGAGACATGAGTCCAGAGATAGAGTGTCTATTCTCATCGTCTGTGGTGGACACATGGATATCAGATTCGGATAGCGACGACATCAGCGAGCGCGGACGATAGGATTGAGGAGGCAGATCCGGCGTAATGAGGCGTACGGACGGCGGTGGTAGGTTCGGAAATGAGTCGTTTGACGGCGACACAGGTCTCGAACGTAGAGAGGTGGTGGAATCTGTCTCATGGAGCGGATGGTCGGGTTCTTCGAACGTGACCCTGGAGCGCGAGAGGTCCTGCACGTTACGACGTTGGAAGGAGAAGACAGAATTGCGCGAGCTGCTTAGTCGGTGCGGAAGAGAGGTAGATGATCCATGCGACCCTTCGCTATTCAAACGAGTAGCCGAGTGCGAATGACGGTGAGGACGGAGGCTGCGAGGCGGACGCGAGTGGGTGGTGGCCGCGTTCTGCGGAATGGTTTCGAGAGTGCGCGCGCGTCTGCGATTGGCTTGCTTCTTCGCGTTGACGGGCGGCGGGACAGGAATGAGCGGCTCTGTGGGGGTCGTAGGCCCGTCCGAGCCGGCGGTCGAGACAGACGAGCGACGGAAGCGGGAGAGGAAGGAGGAGGCGGAGGAGTCGACCGAACGCGAGCGCGAGGAGGTGGAGAAGGGCAGCGATAGCGAGTGCGAGGACGAGCGGGAGCGGTCGCGTTTCTGGAGCCGGTCGCGGTCGAGGTCGCGGTCGGTGTCGGTGTGCTCGTCGGCCGACCCGCGCTCACGGCGGCGGTGGCCAACAGAGAACGCAGACATGATTGCGTGGTGAGCCCGTGTCTGCGTCTGGCGGGCTGCTGCTGCTTCTGCTGCTTCTGCTGCCGCTGCCCGGCTTTGCTGCTGTCACTGCGTCGAGCAAGGAGTGCGCGCCCAATCGGGAAAGCCTAACCCTCTCACATTCCCTGTGCGGCTTATCTCATCGCCGGTCTGGTGCAAGTGCGGAGACAGAATTAGAAGTTGTTTTGGGAGAAACGAAAAGTCGCGTGGAGATTAAACCAACACCGGACGATGACGACAAATAATAGTTCACCAGCCCGTCGTCCGCGATCTGCTGCTGTTCACCAACCTCCTCCACAATGCGCTTCCATCGATCGGCCCTACTCGCTTTCGAGCACTACATGGCCAGCATCACCGCGGTCTCAATCGTATCTCATTTGTCTCTACGGCCTCCTCGTGGCATGGCTCTATCAGGTCGAGAACGGACCCGCCTTGCCTGCTTCTGAATCACATTCCAGCGCTCTAGTCAATGCTGCATGGAAAGATCTGGCGCAGATCTCGACTCGGCCTCACTCCTTCAACTCTCGCCAGCACGAATTGACTCGCCAGTATCTGCTCGACCGGATACAGACGGTGTCGACCAAGTCTGCAAACTCGGAGCACATCGACGTCATCTCGGACGAGTCTGGCTTTGTTATCACATACGACAGCAACGTCGGCTACTGGGAAGGAGAAAACGTATATGTCGTTATCCACGGTACCTCTGGGACTCCTGGAGTCTTGGTCTCTGCACATTACGACTCGGTAGCGACTGCCTACGGCACGACCGACGATGGCATCGGCGTCGTCACATTGCTGCAGCTACTCGAGTATTTCTCTGGACACCGCCCATTTCACAACGTGGTACTGAACTTCAATACCGGCGAGGAGATAAATCTCTTTGGTGCTCACCAGTTCATCAAGCATCCCGTCTCAAAATACGTCAGTTCATTCATCAATCTCGAAGGTGCTGGCGCGGGTGGTCGTACCGCTCTGTTCCGCAGCTCAAGCTACGAAGCCTTGAAAGCATTTTCAGGCTCAGGTCCTGCTTTCGGAAGTGTGATCATGCAGGACATTTTTAAGACCGGTGTGGTTCACAGCGAAACAGACTTTGAGCCATACTCCGAGGCAGGTCTTCATGGCCTTGACATGGCTTTTTACAAGCCGCGATCCCGCTATCATACCGCGCTGGACAATCTGAAGAGCACCGATAAGAGCTCCGTGAAATTCATGATTGACAACGCGCTTCGACTTACGAATTTCCTGGCCGGAGAGCGTTATGTGGCAGCTGAAGACAATGCCGATGAACTGGGCGTATTTTTCGACATCTACGGACACAAACCGCTGGCTTTCTCTATGACCGGGTTTGCGAGATTCTCGCTATTCTTTGCTATTCTGGGTCCGACTTTGATTGGCTATATAGTGTACTATGTCATGTTCAAGCATCCGGTCGTAAGAGTCACCGCGTATGGCTGGGTTCGAATGCCAGTGACATTCTTCTTCCTTGTTGTGGTCAATATAACCGTCGTGAAGATGTTTACCGGCCACAATCCTGCCATCATCTACTCTTCTGACCTGCCAATTATTGCGATCGGTTACTTCTCTCTGATTACGTCGTTTGTTACACTATTCATAGCCCAAGCAGCTCACCCTACGACCTCGCAGCTACCCAGCATCCTCGAGCTTCTGATGGTTCACTGGCTTCTATCTGTCTTCTCAATCTATTCACATTATACGCTGCAATTAGGCGGAGGGTATATGTTTACGTTTCAGTACCTCGGCACACTCTCGGCCACTGT